GGCTTGTCTGACTCTTCACACTAGGTTACCCCTTATATACTACCCTATAGGGCTGTTTTTCCTTCTTGGTATTGTGAAAAATGAGGTGTTTAATTATAATTTTGATAGCTATTTAAACAATATCTTAAAGAGATTTACTGAGGTGTAATTGTTAAAATAAACGGCACAATTTAAAATGTACAATTTATTTATTTAAATTGTACAATATAATGTTTTGTCATATGTATTTGCAGCTGTAACTATCACCACAGTCAAAATCATAAAAGTATCAATCACCCTAGAAAGATCCCATGTGTTTCCTTTGTAAACCTTCCCTCTTCCAGTTGCCTATTCCTGTCCCAGGGCAACTTTTGATCTGCTTTCTCTCATTATAGATTTGTTGGTATTTTCTAGAACTTTTTGTAAATAGAATCATACATTATATACTGCTGTTTTGTCTGGCTTCTTTCACACAGCCTGTTTGAGATTAATTCATGGTGTATTAGTTTATTCTACTGCTGAATGGTGTACCAGTGTCTGGATACACCATAATTTGTTTATCCATTCAACTGCTGATGGACATTTGGATTGTTTCAAATTTTTGGCTGCTCCTTATAAAGCTGCCATGAAGTTTCACATGGAAGTTTTTATGTCTTTGTATGGACATATGCTTTCCTTTCTCTTGGGGAAATACCCGAGAATGGCTGGATCATATGGTAGATATATGTGCAACTTTTAAAGAAACTGAGAAACTGTTTTCCAAAGTAGTTATATCATTTATGTTCCCACCACCAGTAAGTCAGTATTCTATCTAGTTAATTCACATCCATGCCAATACTTGGTATGGTTAGTCATTTAAATTTTAGTGATTCTAATAGGTGAATGGTATATTATTGGGTTTTAATTTGCATTTCCCTAATGACTAATGATACTGAGTATCTTCTCATGTGCTTATTTGCCATCTGTATATCTTCTTTAGTAGGTATCTATTCAAATCTTTTGTGTGTTAAAAACATTTTCTTACTGATTTTGTGAGTTCTTTACATTTTCTGGATTACTACCTTCTTATGAGGTATATCATTTGCATATATTTTCTACCAGTCTGGGGCTTGTCTATGAAAACACAATGAAAAGAAAATTAAATCTCTTGACAGTGTTTTTCAAAGAACCTAATTTTTAAATTGATGAATTCCGTTTTATCACTTTTTTCTTTTATGGATTATGCTTTTTATGTTGTACCTAAGAAAACTTTGCCTAGGCGGGGTATCATGGCTCATGTCTGTAATCCCAGCACTTTGGGAACTCAAGGCTGGAGGATCACTTGATTTTAGGAGTTTGAGACCAGCCTGGGAAACAAGGCAAGACCTTGCTGCTACAAAAATGTTTGAAAAATTAGCTGGGTGTGGGTATGCGCATGTCGCCCAGCTACTTGGAAGGCTGAGATGGGAGGATCACTTGAATACAGGAATTGGAGGCTGTAGTGAGCTGAGCTGTGATTGTGCCACTCTACTCCAGCCTGGGCAACACAGCAAGACCCTGCCTTTAAAAAATTTTAAAAAAAAAGGAAAACTGCCTAAACCAATTTGGTGAATATTTTCTTCATTTTGTTTTTCCTCTAGAAGTTTTATAATTTTATATTTTACATTTAGATTTGTGGTCCATTTTAAGTTAATTTCTATATGTGGAGAGAGGTATGGATCTAAATTCAGTTTTTTGGGATATAGATATTTAGCACTATTTGTTGAAAAGAGTGTTCTTTTTCTGTTAAAGTATCTTTGTACCTTTGTTGAAACCATTCATGTATTTGTGTTACTATTTCTGGACTCTGCTTTGTTTCTTGATCTCTTTGTCTATTTGTATATCAATACAACAGTGTCTTGATTATTATTTCTTTATAAGTGTTGAATTCAGGTAGTGTTTTTCAATTTTGTTTTTTTCCAGTTAGTTTGGCTACTCTGAGTCTTTTGTATTTCCATATGAATTTTAGAATCAGCTTGTCAGTTTCTATAAAAAGCCTACTAGGATTTTGTCTGGAATTATGTTGAGTCAATAGATCAATTTTGGGGAAAAGGAACACCTTATCAAGTTTCCTAACATGGTATATCTGTTTATTTCTTTAGTTCTTTAATCTGTCAGCAGTGTTTTAACATTTCCAGTCAATAGGTCTTGCACCTGTTTTGTCAGATTTTTCCCTGTGTAGTTAATATTTTTGGATGCTATTGTAAATGGCATTTTTAAAACTTTCAGTTTTGATTGTTGCTATCATACTGAAAAACAACTGATTTTTGTGTTTTTTTATCTTGCAATCTTACCAAACTTAATTATAACTTGTATATATAGATTTTTGTAGATTCCTTATGGCTTTCTACTGAGATGACTATACTGTTTACAAAGAAAGATATGTTTACTCATTTCTTTGCAATCTAGATGCTGTTGTTTTTTCTTGCCTTATTTCATAGGCCAGAACCTCTATTACAGTGATGAATAGAGGTGATGAGAGTGGTCAATCTTATTCATGATTTAGGGGAAGATATTTGATCTTTAACAATTAATTATGATGTTACCTGTAAGTTTGTTTGTTTGTTTTTAAGATGCCTTTTATCACACTGAGAAAGTTCCCTTCTATTTCTAGTTTGCTAAGAGTTTTTACCAGTGATGGAAACTGGATTGTGTTAAATGCATTTTCTGTGCCCATTAAAAAAAATCATATGATTTTTTTCAAGTTTGTTAACATGGTGAATTATGTACATAATTTTTGAATGTTAAACAAAACTTACATTCCTGAGATAAACTTCATCTGAAATGATATGCATTTCTTTTTATATTAGGTTGGATTTGGTTTGTTGAAGTTTTATTTAGAATTTGGGTATATATGTTCATGAGAGATATTAGTCTGCACTTTTCTTGTAATATATGACTAGTTTTGGTGACAAGACAATGCTGGCATTATATAATGAGCCCCATGAGACTCTCCTGATCATTTGCTGAAAGAGTTTTTATGAAATTGGCATTATATCTTCATTACGTATTTGGTGGAATTCACCATTGAGGCCCTCTAGGCCTGAAGTTTTTTTAAACTCCAAATTCAACTTATTAATATAAATTCAACTTATTTAATATACATAAGGCTATATGACTAGAATCCTTTAAAATTTATTGGCCAGAATATTGTATATCTTGGTAAATATTTCTTTGTGCATGTGAAAAGAATGCATGTTCTTCTGTTGATGGGTGGAGTATTGTATACATTTCAGTTAGGTCAGCTTGATTGATAGTCTTGTTCAAGTCTTCTACAGTCATTCTGATTTTCTGTCTGTTTTTATCACTTATTGAGAGAAGGGTATCTTCAGTTATAATTTTGTATTTTCCTCTTTCTCCCTGCAGTCTTTTATTTTTAAATGTATATTTTATTGCATTTTAGGTTTTGGGGTACATGTGACGAGCATGCAAGATTGTTTCATAGGTACATACATGGCAGTGTGGTTTGCTGCCTTCCTCCCCATCACCTATATCTGGCATTTCTCCCCATGCTATCCCTCCCCAACTCCCCACCCCCTGCTGTCCCTCCCCTAGTTCCCCCCTACAGACCTCAGTATGTGATGCTCCCCTCCTTGTGTCCATGTGTTCTCATTGTTTGGCACCCACCTATGAGTGAGAACATGCCAAGCTTGATTTTCTGTTCTTGTGTCAGTTTGCTGAGAATGATGGTTTCCATGTTCATCCATGTCCCTACAATTGACACTAACTCATCGTTTTTTATGGCTGCATAGTGTTCCATGGTGTATTATGTGCCACATTTTCCCTGTCCAGTCTATCATTGATGGGCATTTGGGTTGGTTCCAAGACTTTGCTATTGTAAACAGTGCTGCAGTGAACATTCGTGTGCATGTGTCCTTATAATAGAACAATTTATAATCCTTTGGGTATATACCCAGTAATGGGATTGCTGGGTCAAATGGAGTTTCTATTTCTAGGTCCTTGAGGAATCGCTACATTGTCTTCCACAATGGTTGGACTAATTTACACTCCCACCAACAGTGTAAAAGTGTTCCTATTTCTCCACATCCTCTCCAACATCTGTTGTTTCCAGATTTTTTAATGATTGCCATTCTAACTGGCGTGAGATGGTATCTCAATGTAGTTTTGATTTGCATTTCTCTAATAACCAGTGATGATGAGCATTTTTCATATGTTTGTTGGCCTCATATATGTCTTCTTTTGTAAAGTGTCTGTTCATATCCCTCACCCACTTTTGAATGGGCTTGTTTGTTTTTTTCTTGTAAATCTGTTTTAGTTCTTTGTAGATTCTGGATATTAGCCCTTTGTCAGATGGGTAGATTGCAAAATTTTTTTCCCATTCTGTTGGTTGCCGATTCACTCTAATGATAGTTTCTTTTGCTATGCAGAAGCTGTGGAGTTTGTTTAGGTCCCATTTGTCTATTTTGGCTTTTGTTGTCAATGCTTTTGGTATTTTGGTCATGAAGTCCTTGCCTATACCTATGTCCTGAATGGTTTTGCCTAGATTTTCTTCTAGAGTTTTTATGGGGTTAGGTCTTATGTTTAAGTCTTTAATCCACCTGGAGTTAATTTTAGTGTAAGGTGTCAGGAAGGGGTCCAGTTTCTGCTTTCTGCACATGGCCAGCCAGTTTTCCCAGCACCATTTATTAAACAGGGAATCCTTTCCCCATTGCTTGTTTTTGTCTGGTTTGTCAAAGATCAGATGGTTGTAGATGTGTGGCATTGCCTCTGAGGCCTCTGTTCTGTTCCATTGGTCTATATCTCTGTTTTGGTACCAGTACCATGCTGTTTTGATTACTGTAGCCTTGTAGTATAGTTTGAAGTCCAGTAGTGTGATGCCTCCCACTTTGTTCTTTTTGCTTAGAATTTACTTGGCTATGTGGGCTCTCTTTTGGTTCCATATGAAGTTTAAGGTGTTTTTTTCCAGTTCTGTGGAGAAGGTCATTGGTAGCTTGATGGGGATAGCGCTGAATCTGTAAATTACTTTGGGCAGTATGGCCATTAAAAATATGGAGTGCTTCATGAATTTGCATGTTATCCTTGCGCAGGGGCCATGCTAATCTCTGTATCATTCCAATGTTAGTATATGTGCTGCCGAAGCAAACACCTTCCTGCAGTCTTATCTGTTTTTTCTTCATGTATTTTGAAACTGTTATTAGGTACATAAAATTTTGGATTATGTCCTCCTGATAAGTTGAGCCTTTATTATCCAATGACCCTTTGTTGAAAAGACTATCCTTTATTTATTAATTTGTCTTTGCAGCTTTATTGAAAATTAATTGGACATCTTTATGTATATTTATTTTTTGACTGTTTTCTATTTCATTGATCCATATATCTATCTTTTGCAAATTCCTCACTTACTTTATTAGTGTGTGCATGTATATATATATTTGAGATGGAGTCTCGCTCTGTTGCCCAGGCTAGAGTGCAGTGGCACAATCTTGGCTCACTTCAATATCTGCCTTCTGGGTTCAAGCGGTTCTCCTGCCTCAGCCTCTGGAGCAGCTGGGATTACAAGCACGTGCCACCATACCTGGCTAATTTTTATATTTTTGGTAGAGAAAGAGTTTCGGCATGTTGGCCAGGCTGGTCTCTAACTCCTGGCCTTGGGTAATCCGCTCACCTCGGCCTCCCAAAATGCTGGATTAGTATATTTTTACAGTAAATCTTGAAGTTAGATGATGAGATTCCCCCAACTTTATTTTTATTTTTGAAAATTTACTTGGTTATTCTAGTTCATTTTGTTTTTCTTACACATTTTAGAACAGTTTGTCAAAAAAATCTTGCTGGGATTTTTATAGAGATTATATTGACTTAGCAAATCATTTTGAGGAGAATAGCAATATTGAATTATCTTGTTCTTCATTGCAGTATGTTTTCTCATATATTTGGGTTTTCACTGATTTTTTACAACAGTTTTTTGTAATTATCAGATATGGATTCTGTGTATATATTTTAGATTTTTTTTCCCCCCTGAGACAGAGTCTTGCCCTGTTACCCAGGCTGGAGTGCAATGGTGTGATCTCAGCTCACTGCAACTGCCTCCTCCCGTGTTCAAGTGATTCTCCTGCCTCAGCCTCCCTGGTAGCTGGGCTTACAAGCACCTGCCATCACGTCTGGCTAATTTTTTTTTGTAGTTTTAGTAGAGACGGGGGCTTTGCTATGTTGGCCAGACTGCTCTCCAACTCCTGAGCTCAGGGAAGCCACCCACCTCGACCTCCCAAAGTGCTGGGATTACAGGCATGAGCCATTGGGCCTGGCCATATTTTTAGATTTTATACCAAAATATTTTACGTTCTTTGAGGCTATTGTAATTGATATTATTTCTTTTAATTTCAATTTGCAGTTTGTAGACTTTAATAAATAATAAGGGAATACAATGAATGACTTTATGCCCATAAATTTGAAGTAGATGAACCAATTCCCTGTATCATACAAGTTAACAAAAGTCACTAATGAGGAAGTAAATGAAATGAATATTTCTATGTCTATTGAATAAAATATACATGAGATATTTTGACACAGGTATACAATCCCTAATAAACACATCAGGTTAAGTAGGGCATTCATCACCTCAAGCATTTATCCTTTCTTTGTGTTATAAACAATTCAAACATTATATTTTTTACCCATTAATCATCCCTATTTCCTTCACCCCAATACCTTTCCCAGCCTCAGGTAACCATCCTTCCACTATCTCCATCTCCATGAATTCAATCATTAGGTTTATACCTAGCAGTGGGATTGCTGAATCATGTGGTAATGCTATTTTTAATTTTTTGAGGGACCTCCAAACTGCTCTCCATAGTAGTTATACTAATTTTCATTCCCACCAACAGTGTAAGAGGGTTCCCTTTTCTCCATATACTGACCAGCATTTGTTTTTGCCTGCCGTTTGGATATGAGCTATTTCACTGGGGTGTGATATCTCATTGTAGTTTTTATTTTCATTTCTCTGATGATCAATGATGTTGAACATCTTTTTATATATCTTTTGATGTTGGTATGTCTTCTTTTGAGAAATGTCTATTCAAATCTTTTGCACATTTTTGAATTGGATTATTAGTTTTTTTCTTATAGTATTGGTTGAGCTTATTATATATTCTGGTTTTTCATCCCTTGTCCGAATGATAGTTTGTGAATATTTTCTTCCATTCTGTGGATTGTCTTTTCATGTTGTTGATTGTTTCCTTTGCTGCGTAGAAGCTTTTTAACTTGATGTGATCCCATTTATCCATTTTTGCTTTGGTTTCCTGTGCTTGTGGGGTATTACTCAAGAAATTTTTGCCTAGTCCCTGGGTATCCTGGAGAGTTTTCCCAATGTTGTAGTAGTTTCATAGGTTGAGGTCTTAGATTTCTAAGTCTTTAGTCCATTTTCATTTGATTTTTATATATGGTGAGAGATAGGAGTCTAGTTTCGTTGTTTTTCATATACACATCCAGTTTTCCTGGCACAATTTATTGACAGAACTTTTCCTTTCCCAGTATATGTGCTTGGCACCTTTGTCAAAAAATGAGTTCACTGTAATATATGGATTTATTCTGGGCTCTCTATTCTGTACTTGGCCTTTGTGTCTTTTTTTTTTTATTTTTTAATGTCAGTACCATGCTGCTTTGGTTACTATAGCTCTGTAGTACAATTTGAAGTCAGGTAATATGATACTTCAGGTATTGCTCTTTTTGCTCAGATAGGCTTTGGCTATTCTGGGTCTTTTTGGTTCCACATAAATTTTAGGACTGTTTTTTCTATTTCTGTGAAAAATGTCATTGGCATTTTGATAGGGATTGCATTGAATCGGCAGATTGAGTTGGACAGTATGGACATTTTAACAATATTAATTCTTCTAATCCATGAACATGAAATATCTTTCCACTTTTTTGGTATTCTCTTCAGTTTCTTCATCAGTGTTTTATAGTTTCATTTTAGGGATCATTCACTTTTTTGGTTAATTCCTAGGTGTTTAATTTTATATGTAGCTATTGCCAGTGGTATTACTTTCTCAATTTCTTTTTCAGGTTGTTTGCTGTTGGCATACAGAAATGCTACTGATTTTTGTATGTTGATTTCATATCCTGTAACATTACTGAATTTGTTTATCAGTTCTATTAGTTTCTCAGTAGAGTCTTTAGGTTTTTCCAAATACAAAATCATATCATCTTCAAACAAAGATAATTTGTCTTCTTTCTTTCTCATTTGGATGCCTTTTACATCTCTCTTGTCTGATTGTTCTAGCTACGACTTCCAGTACTATATTGAATAACAGTGGTGAAAGTGGGTATCCTAGTGTTCCTGATCTTAGAGGAAAGGCTTTCAGCTTTTCTTCATTCAGCCTAATACTAGCTGTGGGTCTTTAGTATATAGATTTTATTATGTTAAGGCATGTTCTATCTCCAGTTTTTTGAGGGTTTTTATTATGAAAGGATGTTGAATTTTATCAAATGCTTTTCCAGCATAAAATAAAAGGGTCATATGGTTTTTGTCCTTCTTTCTGTTCACATGATGTATCACATGGATCGATTTTGCATATGCTGAACCATCCTTGCATCCCAGGGATATATCTCACTTGATCATGATGAATGACCTTTTTAATGTGTTGTTGAATGTTGTGTGCTAGTATTTTGTTGAGGATTTTTGCATCAGTATTAATCAGGGATATTGGCCTGTAATTTTTTTTTTTTTTTAATTATGTGTCTTTGGTTTTGATATCAGGGTAATACTGGCTTTGTGTTATAGAATGAGTTTGAAAGTATTCCTTCCTCCTCTAATTTTCAGAGAAGTTTGAATAGGATTGATGTTAGTTCTTCTTTAGTATTAATGGCCACTCTGGCTTTCTTCTGATAATAGTGTGCATGTTGTTGTAGGGTGCCAGCCCCCACACACCACCCGTGGGTACCCCGAGTTTGGTGGTGACAAAGGAATGAGGAAAAGACTGAGAAAAAGACAGGTTAAGAATGTATAAAGTGGCACCAGGGGGCCAGTGCAAAACTGGAGGTTGCTAAGGCCTTGAGCTCTGATCTTCCACAGTATTTATTGGTTACAGTTTCTTTGATCTATAGGATAGGTAGAGGAGTGATGGCGGGGAGAGGATGACATGATGGTGGGGTGAATCAGTGAGCGGGAACTGGTGTGTCATTCTAAAGATTGATGACAGTGGCGGTTTTGGGAGTTTCACAAAACAAGAACCTATGGTTATCTTTAGCCTATTATCTATGTGCAGCTGGTAGAATATGGGCCTAACAAGGAACCTACAAGTCTGGCTACGTTTTAGTGCTATGAAGGGGTTTTATATCCTTGAGCACAAGGTTTATTGTAACAGAGCCTATGTCACCCTGCACCCGGAACATGAGGCATGGAGAAGTTTGCCTCCCCAGAGGCCTCCTGCAGTTTGCCATGGTTTGTTGTTCCCAGTTTATGTGTTACTTATAAGCAATTTATGTAGGCACTCTGTAAGTCCTTTCTCCTTTTCTGCTTCCCCCAACGTGTTGTGTCTTTTGTTTTTACTTGGAAAGAATAGTGTATAGTTTTTTAAGTTATTGAATCTAACAATCTTTTATTGGTTTTTTGAGATGTTTACATGTGGTGTATTTTTATATTTTCTAGCATTCCATTTTAAATTTCTGTTGGCCTTCTAGGTATGTGTGTTGGTATTATTATTTTAGTGGTTATTTGATAGGGCTAATGATAACAATATGCATGCCTAACTTTTTATAATCTATTCAGAGTTAATATTGTATTTCTTTTAGTCAAATTTAGAAGTTTTAGAACGATACAGTTTCATTTATCCTCCTTCACTGACCTTTGCTGTAATTGTCATATTTTTATGACATATACATATATGGCAAACTCTATCAGAAAAACTTATAAATTTTGCTTTTAACAGTCATACATATTTTATAGAACCTAAGTGGAAAAAAATAGTCTCATATTTTCTCAGATATTTATTCTTTATTTTGTTCTTTGTTGATTTCTGAAGATATAAATTTTCTCCAGTGTCCTTTCCCTTCAGTTTGAAGGACTTTCTTTTCATTTCTTCTAAAGCACAACTGCTACTGATACATTTTCTTAGGTTCCCTTGATCTAAGAATATCTTTGTTTTGTCTTCTTTCCTCAGGATGTTTTTGCTGGTATAGAATTCTGGGTGGATATTTTCTTTTCTTTCAGCATTAAAAAAATGTTTTATGATTATTTTCTGATTTCCATTGTTTCTGATGAGAAATCTGCAATCATTCAAATTATTTTCCCTCTCTATATAATGTAATTTATTTCTAGCTGTTTTCAAGACTTTTTGACATCTTTTGTTTTCAGCATTTCAGATTATGAAATATTTGGGTGTAGTTTTTAAAATTTATCTAATTTAGGGTTTGTTACACTTCTGGAATCTATATTTGTTATCTTTCAGCAAATAAGGGATTTATAAAAAAACATAATTTTTTCATATATATATATATATACACATATATATATTTGCACCAGTCTTTTTTGACCCTCTGTCTGAAACTTGAGGGACACTAATATGGGCTTTTGATTAAGCTCCATAGGTCTTTGAAGCTCTGTTCTTTTTGTTTGTTTTCGCAATCTGTTTCTTGCTTCACATTGAATTATCATCAGGCTTACTGACTATTACCTCTGTCATCTCCATTCAGCTTTTGAGCCCATTCAGTCATTTTCTAATTTAAGATGTGGTATGTTTCAGTCCTAACATTTTTATTTTATTATTTTTAATGATTTATTTTCTCTGTTGAGAACTTTGCTTTCTGTTATTTTAATTGTCTTTACCTCCTGGAGCCTAGTTATAATCATTAATCTCTTTGATGGTTTTAATTTTTGGGGTTCTCAGAATTAGTACCCACTGATTATCTTTTCTTTTGAAAATTTTTGTTACATTTCTCTTGTTCTTTGTATGTTGAGTAATTTTGGATTGATTCTAAATATTTTATGAGTGTTACATTGTTTGGATTCTGGGCCCTGTTATTATCTGGAAAGTGTTGATTGCTTATTTATTTAAGTGTGTGTATATATATATATATTTGTATAATAAATTATATTTGTGTTATGTGAATGTCTCTCTCTCTTTCTCTCTGACTCTCATAGGTAACTAACCAGCTAAATTACCAGCTAAGTTAAAAAGGTAGCAAATTCTGTTTTGTGTTCTGTCACTAGTGGTTCTAATCTCAGTTCCATTTTCAGTGCCTTTAGATTTGAAGGTACTGGTGCCACTCAGGGATTAGATGGAGACTTGTGCAATGTTCTAAATTCTAGTTCACTTTTCAAAGCCTTTGTTAAGTTTCTTTTGGCCTGTTACACACAGGAGCATCTCAGGTTGAGATGCTCAGGTTGAGCTTGGGTCTTTTGTAGGTTCATTTACAGAATTAGGGTATCTTCTTTAGCTCTCTCTTCATTGGGATTTCCCTCAGACTCTGGCTAAGAGGAGCACCCCTTCTCAGTTATTCTGGCTGGAAAGACAGAATTCCTGTAAGAGGAGTTCATGTGAACATTTACATGCTGTTACTATTCTCTCAAGGATTGCTGTTCTTTCCATCTCTATGGCTGTTTTAGTGTAAGCCCTGTTTTTCTTTTTTTCTTTCTTAGGCTGTGCAGTAGCCCTTTGATTTATTTCTTAGCTTCTCATTTTTTCCTTGCTATCCTTTATTTCTACCACAGTTTGCTTTTGTAGAATACACGTTTTGTCATATCTTTTCCTTGCCTAAGACAGTGATCCCAAAGTTTCTGAAGAAAAATCTGTTGTTATTGAAATTGTCATTCTCCTATAGGTAATGTGTTGTTTGTCTTTGCCTGCTTTCTTTTCTTTTCCTCTCTTTAGTTTTCAGAGGTTTGATTATGATGTCTATCAGTGTAGAATTATTTGAGTTTATTACATTTATTATTTACTCAGCTTCTTGCTGTGTAGGTTTATCTTTTTTTTCAACATTTGGAAAGTTTTCAGTTATTTCTTCACACTCTTTCTTCTTCCAGTGGGAAAATATGACAAATGTTTTAATCTTTTTAAATTGACTTTCAGGTGACTAAGGTTTTGTCCATTTCATTCAATCTACTTCTCTCTGTTCACATTGTATGATTTTTGTCTATATCGATGCTCACTGATTTGTGCCTCTGGCATTTCCATTCTGTTATAGAGCCTATCAAGTGAGGTTTTATAGAAAACCTTGTTTCATTGTATTTCCATTTTGTTATTTTAATCTTCTATTTTCTTGCTGATACTTTTATATTTATTTGAAAGTGTCTGTAGCTGCTTATTGGGCCTTTTGCTGACAGCTGCTTTAAGATACTTGTCAGATAATTTCAGCATCTTTGTCACATCAGTAATGGTAGCTGCTGATTACTTTTCTCAAGTGAGTTAAAATTTTATTATATCTTGGTATGAGAAGTAATTTAGAATTGTATTCCAGGTATTTTGGGTATTGTATATGAGACCGTCTTAGTCCATTTTATGGTGCTATAACAGAATACTCAAGACTTGGTAATATGGCTTGGCTGTGTCCCCACCCAAATCTCAACTTGAATTATATCTTCTAGAATTCCCACATGTTGTGAGAGGCACCCAGGGGAAGGTAATTGAATCATGGGGGCCGATCTTTCTCATGCTATTCTCGTGATAATGAATAAGTCTCATGAGATCTGATGGGTTTATCAGGGGTTTCTGCTTTTGCTTCTTTCTCATTTTTCTCTTGCTGTTGCCATGAAAGAAGTGCCTTTTGCCTCCCACCATGATTCTGAGCCCTCCCCAGCTGCATGGAACTGTAAGTCTCTTAAACCTCTTTTTATTCCCAGTTTTGGGTGTGTCTTCATCAGCAGTGTGAAAACAGACTAATAGAGTAAATTGGTACCAGTAGAGTGGGGCATTGCTGAAAAGATACCCGAAAATATGGAAGCAACTTTGGAACTGGGTAACAGGCAGAGATTGGAGTGGTTTGGAGGGCTCAGAAGAAAACAGGAAAATGTGGGAAAGTTTGGAACTTCTTAGAGACTTATTGACTAGCTTTGACAGAAATGCTGATAGTGATATGAACAATAAGGTCCAGGCTGAGGTGGTCAACTTAGATGGAGATGAGGAACTTGTTGGGAACTGGAGCAAAGGTGACTCTTGTAATGCTTCAGCAAAGAGACTGGTGGCATTTCCACCCTGCTCTTAAGATTTGTGGAACTTTGAACTTGAGAGAGATGATTTAAGATATCTGGCAGAAGAAATTTCTAAGCAGCAAAGGAATGCTGTGTCTTGGGTGCTGTTAGGGGTATTCCATTTTAAAAGGGAAACAGCATAAAAGTTTGGAAAATGTGAAGCCTGACAATGTGATAGAAAAGAAAATCCCATTTTCTGAGGAGAAATTTAAGCCAGCTGCAGAAATTTGCATAAGTAACGAGAAGCCAAATGTTAATTCCCAAGACAATGGGGGAAATGTCTCCAGGGCATGTCAGAAGTCTTCACAGCAGCCCCTCTCATAACAGGCCTGGAGGCATAGGAGGAAAAAATGGTTTTGTGGGCTGGGCCCAGGGTTCCTGTGCTGTATGCAGCCTAGGGACTTGGTGTCCTGTGTCCCAGTTGCTCCTGCTATGACTAAAAGGAGCCAAGCTGTGGCTTTAGAGGGTGCAAGCCCCAAGCTTTGGCAGCCTCCACATGGTGTTGAGCCTGCGGGTGCACAGATGTTAAGAATTGAGGTTTGGGAACCTTGTCTACGTGTCAGAAGATCTATGGAAATGCTTGGATATCCACGCAAAAGTTTGCTGCAGGGGTGGGCCTCTAGTGGAGAACCTCTGGAGTGCAGTGTGGAAGGGGAATGTGGGATCGGATCCCCCACACAGAGTCCCTACTGTAACATCACCTAGTAGAGCTGTGAGAAGAGGGCCACTACCCTCCAGACCCCAGAACGATGGATCCACCTACAGTTTGCACTGTGTACCTGGAAAAGCTGCAGATGCTCAATGCCAGCCTGTGAAAGCAGCCAGGATGAGGCTGTACCCTGCAAAGCCATAGGGGTGGAGCTGCCCAAGACAATGGGAACCCACCTCTTGCATCAGTGTGACCTGGATGTGAGACCTGGAGTCAAAGGAGATGATTTGGGAGCTTTACAATTTGACTACCCTGCTGGATTTTGGACTTCTGTGGGCCTTGTAACCCCTTTGTTTTGGTTAATTTCTCCCATTTGGCATGGCTGTGTTTATCAAATACCTGTACCCTCATTGTATCTAGGAGGGAACTAGCTTGCTATTGATTTTGCAGGCTCATATACTGAAAGAACTTGCCTTGTCTCAGATGAGACTTTGGAGGTGCTGAAATGACTGAAGACGTTGGGGAACTGCTGGGAAAGCATGATTGGTTTTGAAATGTGAGGACATGAGATTTGGAGGGGCCAGGGGCAGAATGATATGGTTTGGGTGTGTTCCCATTCAAATCTCAATTTGAATCGTATCTCCTAGAATTCCTCTGTGCTATGGGAGGTAATTGCTATGGGAGGGGCTCAGGGGGAGGTAATTGAATCATGGGAGCCAGCTGTTCCTGTGCTTATCTTGTGATAGTGAATAAGTCTCACGAGACCTAATGGCTTTATCCGGGGTTTCTGCTTTTGCTTCTACCTCATTTTTCTCTTGCTGCTGCCATGTAAGAAGTGCCTTTTGCCTCCTGCCATGATTCTGAATCCTCCCCAGCCATGTGGAACTGTAAGTCCAATTAAACCTCCTTTTCTTCCCAGTTTTGGGTGTGTCTTTATCAGCAGTGTGAAAATGGACTAATATGCTTGGTAATTTATAATTAATAGAAATATATTGGCTCATGATTTTGGAGGCTGGGAAATCTAAGATCAAGAGGCTGGCATCTTGTAAGGGCTTTCTTGCTGCATCATTCCATGGCAGAAGATAAATAGAGGGTCAACGGATGTGTAAAAGGGTTCAAATCTTATCATTTTATAAGGAACTCATTCCCCTGATAATGACCTCACTCCTGAGGTAACAGTGTTAATCTGTTCATGAGGGCAGAGCCCTCATGGTCTGATCACCTCCCATTATGCCCTACCTCACAACACTAATCCAGAGTCTTAACTCAGATTAGCACCAGCTCAAAAGTCCAAAGTCTAGGGTCTCTTCTAAATCAGATATGGCTAAGACTCAAGACACAATCCATCCTGGGGCAAATTCCCTTCCAGCTATGAACCTATGAAATCAAAACAAGTTGTCTGTTTCCAAAGTACAATGGTGAGACAGGTGTAGGATATACATTCCTGTTCCAAAAGAGAAAAAAAGGGAGTAACACCCCAAATAAGTCCAGAACCCAACAGAACAAACAATGTTAAATCTGAAATCTTTTTTGACTTCATGTTTTATCTTCTGAGCACACTGGGGTGAGGACTGGGCCCCAAAGACCTCAGGCAGCCCAGCCCTTAGGCTTTGCTGGGCTCAGCCTACATAGCAGCTATCATTGGTTGGAGTCTCATGCCTGCTGCTCTTCCAGTGTGAGGCTGCATATGGGTGACTATAGTTTTGAGGTCTCAGAGGTAGCCCTGCTCCTGTGGCCCTATTAGACATTTCTCTAGTGATTACTTTAGGTAGCCACGGCTCCACAACTTGTACAGTCTGCACACCTGCAGAATTGGCACCACATGGATACATATCACCAAGGTTTATGGCCTATACTTCCCAGAGCTGTAGCCAGAGACAAACCCTGGTTTGCTTGAGCAGTGACTGGGGAAGCTAAAGAGAGTTGTGCCAGAATGCAGGGAGCAGATACTTTAGGCAGCACAGGACAGTGACTGCTGAGGTCCCATAGATGCCTTTCTGGAAACTGATCTCAGGATCCTAGATGGGAGGGGCAGACCAGAAGACCTCTAAAATACCTTCAAAATCTCTTTCTGTCTTGATGAGTAGCACTTGACTTCCTTTTATCCATGCTAATCCCTTTATACAATGGTTTCTTGGCCACGCTCTTGCATGTTTTGGTTTTTTGTTCTTTACACATGCAAGCTATGACTTTTCCATATTACTACTTTCTGCTTCCCTTTTAATAATGCATTTTGTTTTTACATTGTTCTACCCTCTGGCATCTTACTATATGCAGTTAAAAGTAGCCATGCAGCTTTCAATTTTGCTTAGAAATTTTTTCCATCAGATATCCCAGTGAAGCGGCTATATACCCTGGGGTTCGTCTTCATGCACCAGGAACATTTAGGGAACGGACACACACAGGAGTTTAAGAGTAGAGGTTTAATAGGTAGAAGAGAAGAGAAAGAGATACAGCTTCCTCTGTAAAGCAAGGGGTCTCTGATCAGAAAAGACTGGCTGGAAGTGAATGCACCGAGTTTTATAGTCCAGTTTGAGGAGGTGGTATCTGATTTATGTAGGGCTCACAGATTGGTTTGATCAGGTATGACATTACACAGTGCTTGGGGAAGGCTGGTTGCCCCACCCTAATCTTCTTATGCAAATGGACTTTCCTGTTGATCAGTACCATCTCATCTGCTCCTTAAAATACACATGGCTGGCAGAGAAGAGAAGATGGAGCCACGATTTTGAAAATCTCTAGTCCTTAGTTCCTGCCAGCATTTACCTGTGCAAGCTTGCAGCTTGCAGGCTGCTCTTTGTTAGAAAATTGGGCTGCTTTTCATTAAAAAGGAAAGCCTTACCGAGGACTACCATGCCCTTGCTAAATGACTAAGTAATTCCTTCCTAACTCCTATATCACTTGCTTATTGCCCTTAAATTGTGCCTTCCATGAAGCACTCAGATATGGGCACAATTAAGTCAAGTTATTTGCTGCTTCATATCAAGGATGGCTGTTGCTCCAGTTTACAATATCTTTTTCCTCATTTCTGTTTGAGATCTCAGGATTGCCTTTACTGTCCATATTTCTACCAATATTCTGATCACAAGCACTAATGTAATCTCTAGGAAGTTTTAGAGTTTCCCTGCAGTTCTCCTCTGAGCCCTCATCAGAATCATCCTTAATGTTTTCTTCATGGCAATACAAGCTTTTTCTGGCCCTTTTCTCCAAACTCCCCCAGCCTATACTTATTACTGAGTTTCAAAGTGGCTTCCCTATTTTCAGATGTTTGATAAAGCAGCATTCTATGCTTCAATAGCAGTTTTTTGTCTTATTCAGTTTTGTGCTGCTATAACAGAATACTTGAGAACTAGTAATTCATAATGAATAAAAATTTATTGACTTGTGATTCTGTTGGGAAGTCCAAGATTGAAGCGCCAGAGTTTGGCAAGAGCTTTCTTGCATCATTGCATGACGGAAGCACAAAGAGAGGGTGAAGAGAGAAACAGAGGAGGGCAAGAGGGGGTAAACTAATCCTTTTATAAGTAACGAATTCCTGCAATAACAGCATTAATCCATTTATTAGGACTCTGCCTTCATGGCCTAATCACCTCTCATTAGGCCCCACCTCCCCCCACTATTGCACTGGATTAAGTTTTCAAAACTTTTTTGGGGGGACACGTTCAAACCATAGCAGAGACTCTGGTTCATAATTAAATATTTTGTTTTAGGAGGCAATCAACTTGTTTTGGTTCAGCACACATGACCTAGCCCACTTTCCAAAAAACACTTAGAGCTTTACTGAGTTACAATTTACACCTTACAATATTCATCTTTTAAAAATGTACAGTTCAATTAAGTTTAGCATATTTAGAGAGTGGTACAACCATCCCCATTACCTAATTTTAGGCTGAAGAGCCAAATTATATAAACAAATTGGTATCTGTGACTTGTTAAAAAATAATTTCCATGGTATCTTATATAGTCAGTATAAAACCTAACTAATCTATACTTTAATGTATAAAAATGAGTTTTTATGATGATATTTTATTATAATATTCAGTATTTTACCATCTGAGTTATGAAAGCATATTATAATTTTCAAGAATGTAGAAATAAAATAACTGAGGTAGGCAAAACTTTAACATGGCCCTTTTGACTTTTATCGCTGGTATTACTGTCATGATTATGCTATGTTATTTGTCAAAAGGGAGATTATCTGGGTTTTCTTATTCTAATCACATGAGCCCTTTAAAAGCAGAGTGTTTCCCCTGGGTGGTAGCAGAAGAGGAAGTTAAGACTCAAGGCATAAGCTGGATTTGACATGCTAATGCTGGTATGAAGATGGAGAGAGCCATGCCTGAAAGTACTAGAGAGAGAGGCCTCTCGGTGCTGAGAGCAACTCCTGACTAGCAGTTGGCAAGGAAGTTGGGACCTCATTCATGCAACTGGAAGGAACTGAATTCTACTAACAATGAATAAGCCTGGAAGTAGATACTTTTCTGGAGCCTCTGGATAAGAGCCTAGCTCAGCTAACACTCATCTAAGTCTACAGGCTGACTTCTGCCCTGTAGAACTGTGAGATAATAAATGGATATTCTTTTAAATTTCTATGTTTATGGTAATTTGTTACTAGAAATAAAAACAAATTTAGGGGCATATTTAGCAAAAAATCATTGAAAAAACAAATCTGGCTGAATTTCAGTCAATGATATTAAGTTAACTAGAAAATTAAATTAATTCTTTAAACATGATGATCAATTGAGTCTTATTATCTTTAACAGTAATAATACAGGGTGATTATGATTTATTAATTTAAGGTTTTTATAACACCTTGTGTACCTTTCTTTGATTTCGTTAGTGTGCCATGAATGATTAGAATTAATGTTCTAAATGTTTGGGATATACTAATTGCTGTCTGGATCCATGAAAGGAAGATGCTCTGGCATTTTAGATATCTGATTTATTTTACCCTATTTCACTCACAGTAGACTTCCAGTCTACCATTTGAGCCAAAAAGTGAATAGGAAAAATATTTTACAGATAGCATAAGGTTATGAAATGATCAGTAGATGTGATTCAGTTTAGCCAAAAGGGGAAGAGATTGATCTTATCACTGATAGTAGATTAATTTGAAAATAATGATTACCATGTGCAAGAGAAGTACTCTATGATTAAATAATGTTTGAGTTGTATAGTTATCTCAGTAGCTTAAGGGAATGTTGAAGGAAAAATATATTAATGAGCTGGAATCTTATTTGGAAATATCCTTGTTAGAATTATAGAGCACAGAATCAGCTGATGTTTTAGTCCACTTGTTTTGCTGTGAAGGAATACTGGAGGCTGGATTGTGTATAAGGAAAAGAGATTTGTTTGGCTCATGATTCTGCAGGATGTACAAGAAGCATGGCACCAGCATCTGCTTGTAGTGAGGGGCTCAGGCTTGCTTCCACTCATGGCAGAAGACAAATGGGAGCTGGTGTCTGCAGAGATCATATGGCAGGAGAGGAAACAAGGGGTAGAAGGGGCCAGGCTCTTTTTAATAACCAACTCTTTCAAAAACTAATAGAGCAAGAACTCACTCATTACTGTGAAGATGGCCCAAAGCCATTCCTGAAGGATCTGCTTCCGTGATCCAAACATCTCTCAGTAGGCCTCATCTCTGGCATTGAGGGTCAAATTTCAATGTAAGGTTTGGAGGAGTCATATATAAAAACCATAGCAGTTGAGAATTAGGTCTCAAACTCAGATAGATAATGGTTAAATATAAGCTATATCAATACCGAATTGGAGAATGTGATTTTCATGTGTGGCCATAATGGGCTAGTACTTCACTTCAGAATTAGACTACCCACTCATTTATGGGCCAGGTTAGGCAACTGCTGGTCTGTTTGTGGGGCAGGACCGCAATAGTGGAAGATAGTAGTCAGAATGCATCTCTTGTGCCTAGAATAGACTGACAATGATTGATCTGATAAAGAAGTTAGGAAAAACAGTCCCATTTACCATAGCAAAACAAAAAACCAAAAAAACCTTACATGCGTGCACACACACACACACACACACACACATCAAAAACTTAGGAATAAGTTTAACCAAGGAGGTAAAAGATCTATGTATAGGAAACTAGAAAACATTAATGAAAGAAATTGAAGATGACACAAATAAATGGAAAGATACTTTGTGTATTCATGAAGTGAAAGAATATTGTTAAAATGTCCGTATTACCCAGAGAAATCCACAGATTCAATGCAATCCTATCAAACTAGAAATTGAAAAATCCTACAATTTGTTTGAAACTACAAAAGACCCCAAATAGCAAAAGCAATCTTGAGCAAAAAGAACAAAGCTAGAGGCATTATACTACCTGATTTGTCTTTAAAAAGTTCATGAAGGCTGAGTGGTGTGTTGGCTCACGCCTTTAATCCCAGCACTTTGGGAGGCTGAGGCTGGTGGATCATGAGGTCAGGAGTTCGAGACCAGCCTGGCCAACATGGTGAAACCCAATCTCTACTAAAAATACAAAACTAGCTAGGCATAGTGGTGCATGCCTGTGATTCTAGCTACTCAGGAAGCTGAGGGAGGAGAATCACTTGAACCCAGAAGGCGGAGATTGCAGTGAGCCGAGATAGTGCCATTGCACTCCAGCCTGGGCAGCAAGAACGAAGCTCTGTCTCAAAAAAAAAAAAAGTTCATGGAAAATGCATATTATGAAAAAACTGCATGAATTTCAAAATTTTTTGCACCAAAATAAACTCATACTAAATTGTTATATCTGAATGGAATCAAGTTTGAGGCACTAAGGAGGATAAGACATTTGTTTGAAAAGAGCCCCTATTGGAGTAACGTGAATTCTGCTAAAATTGAAGTGAGAGCAAACATCAAATTCATGGTGAAGCTTGGGTGGAAGAAGGGGAAATTATTGATGCTTTATGAAAAGTTTATGAGGACAATGCCCCAAAGAAATCAGCAGCTTACAAATGTGTAACTCATTTTAAGAAGAAATGAGATGATGTTGAAGATGAAGCCTGCAGTAGCAGACTATTCACATCAATTTGTGAGGAAAAAATTCATCTTGTTCATGCTGTAATTGAGGAAGACTGATGTTTGACAACAGAAACAATAGCCAACACCACAGACATCTCAATTAATTCAACTTACTTAATTCTGAATGAAAATTAAAGTTGAGTAAACTTTCCACTTGATGGGTGCCAAAACCACTAGGACCAGATTAGCTCCAGATAAAAGCAGAGATTTTATTGGAAATTTTAAACAATAGGATCAAGATCCTGAAGCATTTGTTTGAAGAATTGTAACAGGTGAAACATAGCTTTACCACTACAATCCTGAAGACAAAGCACAATGAAAGCAGTGGCTACCAGGAGGTAGAAGGGTTTCAATCAAAGCAAAAGTGGACTGGTCAAGAGCAAAGGTCATGGCAACAGTTTTTGGGGATGTTAAAGGCATTTTGCTTATTGACTTTCTGTATGGCCAAAGTGTAAAATCTACTTATTCTGAGAGTGTTTTGAGATTTAGCCAAAACTTTAGCAGAAAAACACCTGGGAAAGCTTCACAAGAGGGCCTTTCTTCACTGACAATGCTTCTGTTCATTTCTTTTATCAAACAAGGGCAATGTGATGAGAGTTTCTACAGGAAATCAGTAGGCATCCACCTTATAGTACTTATTTGGTTCCTTTTGAGGTTTTTTTTTGGTTTGTTTATTTCCTAATTGGTGTGGTTTGGCTATGTCCCCACCCAAATCTCATCTTGAATTCCCACATGTTGTGGGAGGGATTCAGTGGGAGGTAATTGAATCATGGGGGCAAATCTTTCTCATGCTGTTCTTGTGATAGTAAGTCTCATGAGATCTAATGGTTTTATAAAGAGGATTTCCCCTGCAAAAGCTCTCTTTCTTTGCCTGCTGCTATCCATGTAAGATGTGACTTGCTCCTCCTTGCCTTTGCCATGATTATGAGCCATCCTTAGCTATGTGGAAGTGTAAGTCCATTAAATCTCTTTCTTTTGTAAATTGCCCACTCTTGGGTATATCTTTATCAGCAGCATGAAAATGGGCTAATGCACTAATCTTAAAATGTGTTCAAAGGGCACCTATTTTTCCTCAGTTAATAATGTAAACAAGACTGCATTAACATGGTTAAATTCCCAGGACCTTCAGCTATTAAGAGATGGAATAAATGGTATCATTGCTTACAAAAGCTTCTTGACTTTGATGGAGCTTATGTTGAGAAATAAAGTTTATGTTTTTTATTTTTATCTTTTAATTTTATTTTTTTCCCATGAACTTTTAAAGTCATCTCATAGTTATTAAAACAGCATGGTACCTGCATAAAAACAGACAAATTGACCAATGGAACAGGATAGAGAGCCCAGAAATAAATTTATACATCTACTGACCACTGATTTTCAAACAGAGTCTTGAGGAATACACAATGGGGAAAAGACAGTCTCGTTAATAAATGATTCTGGAAAAACTAGGTATCCACATATAGAAGAATGAAATTGGACCCTTATCTCATCCCTTATACAAGAATCAACTCAAAATGGATTAAAGATTTAAAAGGAAGATCTGAAACTAAAACAACAGAAGAGAACATAGGAGAAAAGGTATGACTTGTCTCAGCAATGATTTCTTGCATGACTCCAGAAGCACAAACACAAAGCAAAAGCAAAAACAGACAAATAATATTGAATCAAAAAACTTCTGTACATGAAAGGAAGTAATAGAGTGAAGACACCACCCAGGCATTGAGAGAAAATATTGCAAATCATACATCAGATAAGGGACTCATACCCAAGACATGTAAGGAACTCAAACCACTCAATAACAAGAAAACAAATAACCCTATTTAAACATGGGCAAAGAATCTGAATAGACATTTCTCAAAAGAAGACATCCAGAAGGCCAATAAATGTATGAAAAAATGCTCAACATTACTAATCATTAGGGAAATGCAGATCAAAACCACAATGGGATGTCATCTCATACCCCTTAAAATGGCTCTTATCAAAAAGATTAAAGATAACAAGTGTTGGTGAGGATATGGCAAAAAGGGAATTCTTGTATACTGTTGGAGGGGAGTAAACTAGCACAGCCATTTTGAAAAGCAGTATGGACATTCGTCAGAAAACTAAAAAGAGAATTACCATATGATCCAGCAATCTGGGTATATATCCAAAGGAATTGAAATCAGTATGTTGGATGTTTGCATTCACATGTTCATTGCAGCATTATTCGTAATATCCAATATTTGGAAACAACCTAAGTGCCCACCAAGGGATGAATGGATAAAAAAAGAGGTATATATACATAGCGAAATAGTATTCAGCCTATAAAAGGACAAAATCCTGTCATTTGTGACAACATGGGTGAAACTAGAGGCCATGATGCTAGGCATAATAAGCTAATGTTAGAAAGACAGATATCACCTGATCTGACATGTGAAATCTAAAAATTTGAATCAATTGAAGTAGAGAGTAGAATGGTCCTTACTAGAAGCTGCGGGTGGTGGTTGGTTGGGCAGGGAAAGGAAAAATACTGGTCAAAGGGTGCAAAGTTTCAGTTAGGGAAAATAAGTGTTCTATTATTCTGTGGGTGTTCTGTTGTACAAAAAGGGACTAATATTAGTAATTATGCATTATATATTTTATATACTACCTTGCTAATAGAGTGGCTTTTAAATGTTTTTGCTGGAAAAATATATATGTGGGATGATGGATGTTAATTAGCCTGATCTGCTCAATCTGCAATATATACATGTATTGAAGCATCACATCTTACCCCATGAATATATATAATTATTATTTGTCAATAAAGATGAAATAAAAATAAAAAAGGAATTAATAAGCTGTTAACTAATATTTTAACTAGAAATCCTGTTTTAAAAAAGTTTTCTATGTGAAAAAAGGTTTACAAAAACCACCATCCTGCATAAAGACTATCCCTGAGTGGATCCAACTATTCCTTGTAGGGTGGTTATGCCAGGATTAAACCTATATTCTGTGATAAACAGGATTTATTGTTTCACAGATTTTGTAATAGTAAAACTGTAACACTTTCTTATTTTTAGAATATATTAAAATATTATATATCCATAGTCAGGATAGATAACAACATCCCACTAGATTTAATTTTAGTATTGTCTAATGTTTGTGTTAGTTTTCCTGCATTTATTTAGTGGCCAACCTTGTATTATAAACAGCCCAGCATGCTTTTAATTAAGGACTCTGCACTGGGCACTTTCAGCTAGAATGAGACATTGACAAGGCATATGGATATGTGGCAGGCATTTAGACAGGTGATTGGCAAACTTTTCCTGTAAAGGGCCAGATAGTAGATATTTTAGGCTTTGCTGACTAGATGGTCTCTGTTGCCAATATTCAACTCTGTCCTCGTAGTATGTTAGCAATCTTAGACAATATTTAAACAAACTAGTGTAGTTGTGTTCCAGTAAAACTTCCTTTACACAAAGAGACAGTAGGTTAGTAGTTTATATAGTACCAATCTAGACGAATAAGTCATTATGGTTGTCAGTTCAAGAAGAGGAATGATACAAAGTTTAAAACAAAGTTGTTTGAAACTTATAATACATTTTAGAATTCATATTAGAAATAGTAGTTATGCAAAAGACTATTTTACTTTTTGTAGGGAGTTGAACTATATGCTAACTAATTTCTGGAGAGCTCTACACAATTGGAATGTAAGGATATTAGGAGTAAGAAGTGAAAAAATAAATTTCATTTCTTTTACCTTGTTTGGTGGCATCCTTCCATGCTTCCAGTAGACTGCAGTTGGCAAAGAGGAAACCCTTTTATAGTAAATGGAGGAAAAGGTGGACTCTTTAGTGCTGAGGATGAGGAATTCGGGGATTGTGGTGAGTAGTTTCCTTTTAAGTTTGGGAAATTGTACTACTGAAGGTGAATAGGATGGGACAGGGTGTGTAGTTTTCAGGTACTCCTATTGTTTAGCGTAGGTGGGGAGGCATAACAGTTCCATCACATCACTTCTTATAAGAGGGAGATAAGGATTACTATGGTAACTCCTACCGTGTGTGTTTCTTTGGTTGTCTTTGCTTGTAGGTTTTTACTCAAGAAATCTTTGCCCAGTCCAATATTCTGGAGAGTTTTCCCAATGTTTTCTTATAGTAGTTCATATGCTTAATTATCTTTTATTATGCTAGACATTTTTTTCTGAAAATTATTGATAGAAATAATTTGAGGCCCAGGGTAATGTTATCTTTCTTCAGAGAGTATCATGTATCTTCTGTTAGGAGACTTGGCATATCAGCAATTCTAACAGCACCATAAGCTGATTTTAAGACACAGAGTTTTCTGCTGCTCAGGTGACTCATAACTAACCTACATTCCAGGTGAAGACTGGTTAACTTCTGGTATAGCATTATGTTAATAGCAAGTCATGTTCCAAGTCAGAGTGCCCTGTTGTTTCTTTGAGCCCATATGTTTTGTGGGTTATTGGCGCTACCAAATGCACTCTTAGCCTTTGGCAATCTCTTCTAAATAAGCAAATGTCTCAGAACAAAACCATCTCTGAATGCTTGCCTCCTCTTAAGCAATTTGCAGCTTCTGGATCTTGGCATGGTACATTTTATCATGTTGTTACTTATAAGATTTTAAAGTTGTTCTTTAGCTTTTTAAGTTATCTTCAGTAGAGAGTTTTTCTGAATTACTGCATTTGGTATTATTATTGAAAGTGAAAAATCAGGGCAAGTTATTTAACCTGTGACTTAAAATGTGCTTCAGATTTCTCATTTGTAATATGGAGTTATTAATTAGTATCTCATGGGGTTTTTGAGATTTTTTAATGAGGCAACGCATTGTGTGTTTAGAGTGGTTACTGACATGTAGAAAATGCTCAAATTATTATTACATTCATTTGAGAATATGGGAATTTGTTTGTTGTTCTTCAAGGATTTTCCAGGCATGAATTAGCCACTTTATTACGGAAGTAATTTGCAGGGATTGTGAAAGACTTGCAAATGACATTAACATTGACTGACATTTTTGTCAACCCTGATTTAGGTAAATTAAGTTTCTTCTCCCTAATGTATTTAAGGCTCTATACTATAAGGAAAATTTGATTTCATCTAAAAGTAGATAATGGCCCTGATATATATGTATGTATGTGTGTATGTTTATGTGAATATGTAAAAACTGATTAGCTGTGATGTGTGTGTGTATATGCATATATAAATATAGTATGTAAATGTTAAGTGGGAAGACATTTTAATTATTTAAAATGTGGTCTCTTGATAAAATAATTGGGCTGGAGGTAAGAGAACCAAAACTCAGTAGAATTGTTGAGGTTTTTGGGCCGTGCGCGGCCACTCATGCCTGTAATCCCAGCACTTTGGGATGCCGAGGCAGGTGGATCACGAGGTCAGGAGATCGAGACCATCCTGACCAACATGCCGAAATCCCGTCTCTACTAAAATAAAAAAAATTAGCCAGACGTCGTAGCGGGCACCTGTAGTCCCAGCTACTTGGGAGGCTGAGGCAGGAGAATTGCTTGACCCGGGAGGCAGAGGTTGCAGTGAGCCGAGATCACACCACTGCACTCCAGCCTGGTGGCAGAGAGATTCCGTCTAAAAAAAAAAAAAAAAAAAAGAGTTGAGGTTTTTGTTTTAAATATTTTTAAATTCTGAAAATCTAAAGTTTTTCTAAGTATCTTTTTTGTTTTTATGCATAAAATAGGAGATATAATACCTTTTTATTTGTCCTGTTTTAAAAATTGATTGAGTCCTTGGACTAGATGTAGACAGGAGAAAATGTTAATAAAAAA